ATTTGAGAAAAAATAAAATGGATTTCATAGGGTCCTACAAATGTAATTTTTGTTTTAAAACTTAAAGTTTCATGATTTCAATTTAGACATTCACTTTGTTTACTAAACATGTATTTAAGCAACGGAATCCAGAAAAAGTAAAACTGAAAAAAAAAGAACAAAATTAAGACATTCTGTGAGAACAAATGATGCAGAGAAATGGGCTGAATGTCCTGACATGTGTTTGATCTCCTCTGTGCAGGCGCTTCAGTCAGAACACTATCGCTCAGCTGTGGTACTTTGTGAAATGTATTTACTTCGGCCTGTCAGCGTATCAGATCCGCTGTGGATATCCGACTCGCATCCTGGGAAACTTCCTCACCAAGAGCTACAGCTACGTCAACCTCTTCCTCTTCCAGGGGTGAGAAACCTGTTCAACAGCAGTTTATAGGGTGATGTTGCATGTATACTGTATACATGTCCGATATCTTAGAGAGCAGGGTGGTCAATGGCTGATATATATGATTTCAGACTATTTAAATTAAAGATAGTAAAAACACATGGATGACAATTTCTTTATAATTATTTTACATAATATATATACTAAATTATAAATAAATAATTATAAAATTATCTGGAAAAAAAAAATCATTTGAACTTAATTTCAATCCTATTATAGACGTAACGTAATCCTATTATAGAAAAAAGAAAATTTGACAAATAAAATTATAAAATTATCTGGAAAAAAAAAATCATTTGAACTTAATTTCAATCCTATTATAGACGTAACGTAATCCTATTATAGAAAAAAAAAATTTACAAATAAAGAAACAGTTAAAAATATGAAATGTATAAATTGGAGGTAATTTTAAAATAATTTATTACACAGATCTGTTAAACAGAGTCGTGTAAGTGGGAGCGCAGGTGCCTGACATTCTTATCGCTGTCAAGTCCCATTTATTGTAAAAATAAAAATCCCAGTTATTCTCAAAGTAAAAGTCCCACTTCTGATACATCAGCCAAACATAAAAACTTAGTTGATAATCAATGCTGGTGATTAAAAAATGCCAGATATCAGCTGATATATTGGTCAACCATTACTTTTATAAGTAAAAGGAAATTAAAGCAAACTAAGTCGGTTTCTATACATAACGGATCCGCCTGCTTCGTGTGTGTTGTGTGTCCCAGGTTCCGTCTGATCCCGTTCCTGACGGAGTTGCGGGCGGTGATGGACTGGATTTGGACGGACACGACGCTCAGCTTGTCTAGCTGGATCTGTGTGGAGGACATCTACGCTCACATCTTCATCCTCAAATGCTGGAGGGAGTCTGAGAAGGTAAGAGAGTGAGAAATAACACAGTCTACATAGACAGCTTCTTCTCAAGGCAGCATCCTAAGCATTTGTGTGTGGTCGTGTGGCAGCGTTACCCTCAGCCGCGCGGACAGAAGAAGAAGATGGTTGTGAAGTATGGAATGGGCGGCATGATCGTGATGCTCCTGATCTGCATCATTTGGTTCCCGCTGCTCTTCATGTCTCTGATCAAATCTGTGGCAGGAGTGGTCAACACTCCGCTGGACGTGTCCGTCACGCTCACGCTGGGAGGACTTCAGGTGCACGTCACATTAAAGACACTGTGCTGCTCATTTGCATGGTCATTTCTGCTTTCGGCCAGTTTTTATGTTCTGCAAGGAACATTTTATTGCTATCAATTCTGTTTCTCCTAAAAGACATTTGTAGAAATCAAAATAATCACAAATGAGTCATCCAGTAAGATTATAAAGCTATTAAATGAATGTGGAAAGCATTTCAGATCAGTTGATGAGAAATTTTTGAGTTCATATTGAGGTGTTAATTTAGTATTATTCGTATACTGTTACAGTGCTTATTAATATTTTGAATAAGTTTTGATTTTTTTTTTCTGTTTTCATTTTACTTTTAGTTTTAGTAATTTTATTATGTTTTTGTCATTTTTTATTTTATTTTATAATTGTATTTTTATTAAAATAATGTATTATTATTTATTATTATTAGAATTTATTATTTTTGTTTTCATTTTAATTTGGTTTAAATTTTAGTAATTTTATATTATGTCAGTTTTATTAGTTAGTGTTTTTTGCAGTGTTTTTCTATTTATTTTAATTTATTATATTCATTATAATTTTTTCTTATTTTTTTGGTTTAAACTTTAGTAATTATATGTTATCTCAAGTTTTTTTAGTTATTGTTTTTTGCAGTGTTTTTGCAATATTTTCTATTTAGCTTTAATTTTTTATTTCAGTCTTTCTCTCAGGAGAAACATCTGAGAAGTCTCTATTTGTTCTCCATTTAATCTCAGTGCTGTCTAGGTGATCTGATATTTTTGGAAGCCTTCAAATCTCAGGTTGCTTACCATTCGATAATTAACATGCCGCTTTTTTTCTGTTCTTGTGTTTGTTTTATTCTGTTTTCAGCCGATCTTCACGATGAGCGCCCAGCAGAACCATCTGAAAAACATCTCTTCCACAGAGTTTGCCAAGTTTTTAAAAAAATACAGCACTGATGCAGTAAGGAACTAAGAGTCTGTTCAGATCACAGTGGCTCCTTTGTATTTGACATGAACGTTTTCTAGTAATGCACCGATATATAGAAATGATTTTAGAATTTCAGCTGATTATTATTGACCGATATTGCTCTATTTTCACATTTCGTTGCATAATCAAAGCATAAAATAAGAAATTATATTTTGCATAGATAAAATGAAACTTGTGGATATTGTGGCATTATTTGCCTGCCAATTTAACATATTTTCACATACAATTCTCATACTGTAAAATAATTAGGATTTATTTAAGAATTATTACTACTTTTGAAACTTGTAATAGCCTATTAAAAAAAATGCAGTGCTTTATTGTCAAACCAATGCTGATCAGACAACAAGCTAATATTGCCTGATACTGATAAATTGTGCATCCCAGATTGTTTCTAAATAGAGCTAAAGATGCTTGTGTCTCCTGCAGAGTGCCATGCTGTTCCTGGAGTCTTATATTCATGAGGATTTGACAGTAGCAGAACTAGAAGGAAGTTCCAACTCGCTCTGGACCATCAGCCCCCCGAGCAAGCGGAACCTCATTCAAATGCTCAGTGACGCAGATGAGAAGTTTCCTCTCACCTTCACCTGGTCCATACAGAGGTAGAGTTCAACATCACAGCAGCATGCAGGCTTAGACAGAGCGCTTAGAAGAACCTGGTCTGCTAGTGGCTGATGGGTCAAATAAAAAATTCCAAAAATGCTGTCATCAGATCAGATTTCATCCTGAGATCCAAACATTTTATTATATTTAACTAGATAAAATATTATTTATCATAGTCAAGGGATAGTTCACTGGAAATGTGCTGTTATTTACTCACCCTCAGGCGTAGTAAAGAAGATTTTTAGCTGAAACTGGGGTCTTTGGTGAGTCATAAAGTGCAAGTCAGCGCCTGCCCGTCTTTGAGAATTAAAATTAATAGCTGTGGCTCCTGACGAGATACTAAGGTCTTATGAAGCAAAACGATTGGTTTGTGCAAGAAACTGAACATTATTTACAACATTATTACCTGTAATAATGGTGTAAATCATGTAAATCGTTTCACTTCATTAGACCTCAGTGTGTCGTCAAGAGCCACGGGTATTAATTTTGTGTTCCCTGATATGCTGTTTTTGACTCTCAAAGTGCTGCTAGCCACTGACTTGGACCACGGTTTCAACTAAAAATCTTCTTTACCGTCACCTACATCTTGGATGACCTGAGGATGAGTAAATTAACAGCAAATGTTCCGATTGGTTTGTGCAAGAAACTGAACATTATTTACAACATTATTACCTGTAATAATGGTGTAAATCATGTAAATCGTTTCACTTCATTAGACCTCAGTGTGTCGTCAAGAGCCACGGGTATTAATTTTGTGTTCCCTGATATGCTGTTTTTGACTCTCAAAGTGCTGCTAGCCACTGACTTGGACCATGGTTTCAACTAAAAATCTTCTTTACCGTCACCTACATCTTGGATGGCCTGAGGATGAGTAAATTAACAGCAAATGTTCACTTTTCGGTGGTTATTTTTGAAATACAATACAAATGAATACAGTTAATAACATTTATAGACAACATTTTTCGATTTTTCATAAATTACTTTTAATCCAACAAATATGAATAATTTTGTCACAGTAAAGTAATTTCTTTTATGTGACCCAGACATGTTTCATACAATCATCACCCTGGTATCATCTCATGAGAATTTGTTCTGCATGTAATGACATTGATATGAATTATGTGCCGCTCTGGTCAGGACAAAGATATTAACGACAAAGACTGAGGTTTTCATTAATGAAGTAATTGAATTCATTTCTGTTTGGTTTCATTTGCTGTATTTGTCCAATAGAAACCTCAGTTTAGGTGCCAAAGCTGAAACTGCAATAGGGAAACACTATATAGACTTGGACAAAACCACGAGAACTAAGCTAAAAAATCTACTGAATGGAACTGAGCACAAAGAAGTGTGAGTTTAAGCTTCAAACACAGACGTATTTTTCCTGACTTTTTATACCACTAAAAAGACATTCGGCTGAATGGTCAATTGTAATGGTGTTTTTTATTAAGGGTCATTGAAAACATTTTTCCAAGATACATCAGAGCACCAAGCGACTCCAATGCCAAGCCTATTGGGCAGCTCTACAAAAATGGTAAAACACCAGCTCTCCACCAAGCATATCTATGCCTTTGCTACATTTCCTATGTGTTTCTACAGCCACCATCAACACGCCTGTTTCTCTTCACTCTTCTGTGTGCTCTCTAAGGTAAAGAATACATGAGCATCACACTGTCTTTACATAAATCCAGCAAAGACAGCACAGAGGGCGTCCAGGAGTGGTGGATCGTGAATCAGACAGAAGCAGGGCCGTTATCTGTGGGCTCAGCCAGGAATGCAAACGAATCTGGTCTGGAGCTCTACATCATCAGTGACCAAGTCAGTCCACCCAGTCTGGGCTTTCTGGCTGGTTATGGGTGAGTGACGTGAAACATTATAGTCTGAAGGTTTTTTTCTGTACTTCCTAAAGCGACAAAACTGTGCGTCCAATCAGAACATATTTGACGCTTCATATATAGCTAAGAGGAGGTGGATTTTTGACCAATGAGAGTTCACTATGGGCGGGGCTTCTCAATAGATATGAAATAGATAATACAACTGATATGCTTCTCATGGCGGGTTACAATTAAAACTCACAGTGCTAACATTAAAGAGAAATATAGAGTGTTGACTGTTTAAGAATACATTTTTTTAAATTAAAGCTAAAGTTAAATTCAATACAGGGATGCACCAAAATTTAAATAGAAAATCTTTTTATGATACACTGCCGTTCAAAAGTTTGGGATTGCTTAATTTCTGCATTTATTCAGCAAGGACACATGAAATTGTTCAAAAGTGACAGTAAAGACATTTATAATGTTGCAAAAGATTCAAATAAATGCTGTTCTTTTGAAGTTTTCCTGAAAAGAATTCACAGTTTCCACAAAAATATGAATCAACACAGCTGTTTTCAACATTGATAATAATCAGAAATGTTTCTTGAGCAGCAAATCAGAATGATTTCTGAAGATCATGTGACACTGAAGACTGGAGTAATGATGCTGAAAATTCAGCTTTGATCACAGGAATAAATTACATTTTACAATATATTCACATAGAAAACAGTTATTTTAAATTTTAATAATATTTCACAATATTACTGTTTTTACTGTATTTATTATCAAATAAATGCAGCCTTGGTGAGCATAACATTTTTAAAAAATCTTACCGATCCTTAACATGTGAACGGTAGTTTACTGCAGTGGTTCCCAACCCTGGTCCTGGAGGCACCCCAACACTGCACGTGTTGCATGTCTCCTTAATCAAACACACCTGATTCAGGTCATCAGCTCATTAGTAGAGACTTCAATTGGTGCGTCAGAGAAAGGAGACATGCAAAATGTGCAGTGTTGGGGTGCCTCCAGGACCAGGGTTGGGAACCACTGGTTTACTGTACTGTATATTTTTGCAATATAAATTAGCACTAAACTATGACAAAGTTTTAAATAATCTTGACTAGGCATTAGTTCGACAATTAAACAATATTGACTGATAATATTGACAATATAAATATTGATAATATAAACAGTATTGACTAATAATTTAAGGGAAGCCTGTTTCCACCACAGAATAAAAAAAAAATAAAAAAAAATTAATTGCAACTTTTTATCTCACAATTTGGACTTTTGTTTTCTTTCTTGCAGTTCTGAGAAAAAAAAAATTTCTGCCATGGACTAAAAAAATAAAGTAGGTAATTGCAACTTTTTATCTTGCAATTCTGAGTATGTATCTCACAATTCTGACTTTTTTTCTCGGAATTGTGAGATATACAGAATTGCATGAAAAAAAAGTCAATTCTGAGTTTTTTGTTTTTTTTAAATCAGAATCGTGAGAAGAAAACTGAATTGTGAGAAAAAAAAGTTGCAATTACTTTTTTTTTTTTTTTCATGGTGGAAACGAGCTTCTAAAGAAATGGTCATAATGTTGTACATCCCAAATTAAATATATGAACCAAAATGAAGATAGATTTGATCAATCTGACAGGATTAAACCGTATTTAAATCACGTGCATTGTGCCAAGTTAAACGTGTGAACCTGCATGTGCACAGGATCATGGGTCTGTACATGTCGGTGGTTCTGGTTATCGGGAAGTTTGTGCGTGAATTCTTCAGCGGGATCTCGCGCACCATCATGTTCGAAGAGCTGCCTAACGTGGACCGGATCCTCAAGCTCTGCACCGACATCTTCCTGGTCCGAGAGACGGGAGAACTGGACCTGGAGGAAGACCTGTACGCCAAACTCATCTTCCTCTACCGCTCTCCAGAAACCATGATCAAGTGGACCAGAGAGAAGAGTGAGTGAGTGAGGATGAGGACGCTGACCTTCGGAGGAACTCCAAACTAACCACGAGAAGCACACAAAGCGGGAATTGCACCTCTTTCCCAAAGCGCACGGTTGGATTGAACCGATTGTTCTTCATGCGAACTGATGAAACGTTAGCACTCGTGCAGTTTTCATCCAGTGGACGTGCACTTGCTAGTGTTTTTTAAGGGCTTGATAAGTGAACTTTAGGGCTTCCAGGCATGCGCCACTTTGATACGACTTTCACCTTTGGGAGTGCATGCGACATGATGGACTTAGACGAGAAATACTCAACCTACTTTAGACCTGGGCTTGATTTGTAACGCCTCTCTGAATTCTGAAGGCGAAATCGGTTTTGCAGGAAGCCGAACCGAAGCCCTGTAGGTGGCGCTGTGAATTACGTGACAGTCTCTATTTGCCTTATTTCATTTGTACAATCAACTGGACGCATCATTATCCACTACCTTTCTCAGGAATACATTCAGATTGACGAATACGACTTTCACCTTTGGGAGTGCATGCGACATGATGGACTTAGACGAGAAATACTCAACCTACTTTAGACCTGGGCTTGATTTGTAACGCCTCTCTGAATTCTGAAGGCGAAACCGGTTTTGCAGGAAGCCGAACCGAAGCCCTGTAGGTGGCGCTGTGAATTACGTGACAGTCTCTATTTGCCTTATTTCATTTGTACAATCAACTAGACGCATCATTATCCACTACCTTTCTCAGGAATACATTCGGATTGACGTCAACGGGATAGCAACCTTTTTTCTCATGTACGACACAGTGTGAAGAGGAACGTACGCAACAAACATCTGTCATTTGTGAACACCGATTTGGGACATGAAAAGGACGTTTGGTGTTTTATAAGGCTTGAAGTATAATGACTTTTCATAACTAATGGGAGATTGTTTTCACATTGCAATTAAGGATTTATCAGTTTCAGCAACTCATTCGTTAAATAGAGAGAATTCATGTGTTTCTGTGCACATTTCTTTGTAAATCCAAATGATTTCATGAGTAATTTACACAAATTTCTGCAGAACGAATTTTGAATGCATTTCTGTGTATATTTCTTAAGTGATTTTATGAACAATTTACACTAAAATTGGTTCAGAATGAATTTGAAATGTTTCTTCATAAATCAAAACGATTTTATGAATTATTTATACATGAAATGTTCTAAATGATGAGTCATTTTAAGAATTATTTCCACAGAAATTAGTTCAAAAACTAATTTTAATGTGTTTCTGTCTGCATTTCTTTGTCAATGCTAATGATTTCATGAATAATTTAAATTTGTTCAGAACAGATTTTTGAATGTTTCTTCATAAATCCAAACGATTTTATGAATTATTTATACATGAAATGTTCTGAATGATTTTTGAATGTTTCTTCACTTTATAGCTCATACACTGTACATTTATATAAAAGATGTTTTTATTTTTATATTTTCCATTTCGTTTTAATTTTTTTCTTTTTAAATGTATTTGTTATTATTGTTAATAATAATTTTACTAATATTTTTTATTATTTATATTATTTTTACACGTCTATATAGTTTTTTTAAATAAATTTTTGCCTTTATATTTGATCTATTTTAGTAGATCAACTCAAACCAAATGAAAATGAGAACTGTTATCTTGGAAAATAGTTGAGATAATCAGTTTAAGTTTGTTTGTTTGTTTATTTATTAAGTTAACATTTATTTCAAGTAAACTATTTCAAAATGACTCTCTCTTTCCTGGCTTCTCTATAGCATGAGTTGTGAATGCTGCTGCTTTCTATTTGTAGAATATTTGTAAATCATCTTCACTGAGTTCATCAGATAATTCTCTAGATAGTTCAGAAGAAAACACATTTAGCAGCAGACAGCCAAACAGTGTAGATTATGATTTTATTAAGTCATTTTTGCATCTTTATGACTGTCAGGTTGTATATTTGGAAACGCAGCATGACGCCTCACTCCACAGCGACATTTACATTTCAACAACACTTACAATAAATTACTGTACATAATAATAACATTATAGTATTTTACAAATTGTATAACCGATTTAACATCACTTTGACATCACACAGTGTTCACAAATAAAAATAATTAACAGTTTCTGTACACAACTTCACGTTTTCATTATGAAATAAAAAAAAAACATTTCTAAACGCAATTTATGCAACAATATGATCTCACACACACCAAAAACTTCCAGTGCTTACAGTTTACAGGTTCAACTAATGGTGTGAGTTTAGGATCGGGACTATCTGATTGTTTGACCAGTGGAAAACAAGTGTTTATAACTTGATTGAAAACACTGCAGTCAATAGTGTGCTGAAAGGATGACAGATTTTTGTAAGCCAAAATGTGAAAATTAGCGTTTCTGTGCTTCATCTTCATCGTTACATCACCCTGAAGTCAATGGGGGTTTTGAATGGGTTTGTTTGTTAAATAAGGTCTGTGGTTTAACACAAGATATTTTCACACTTTATTCTACATCATATAATCAGATTACTTTTTTTCAAGTAACTAGTAAAGTAACGCATTACTTTTAAATTTACAAGCAAATATCTGAGTAACTTTGTTTTTCCCATTTATTGACTGACAGCTCTCCTGTCCCGTGTTGAGAGAAACTGGGAGTGAGGTGCAGAGGCTTATTCATTTCACTTTTGATGTGAAAGGGCCTTTACAGTTACCAAAAATATAACTTTTGGGGTTTTTGTTATTAAAAATAAATAAGCAAGCCCAGACCAGGTGACAAAAAGCAACACAAAAGTAGCGTAATGCATTATTGTACATTCCATAAAAAGTAACTAACGCAATTAGTTACTTTTTAATGGAGTAACGCGATATGAGTGAGTAACTTTAAAAGTAACTTTTCCCCAACACTGGTAGTAATAGTTGTCATTTTTTTAAAAAGTTGCATTTATAATCGCGCTCTTGCAAGCTATTCAAACTCAAACTTTCAGCGAAAATGTTTTTAAATGAAAACAGAAAGCGTTAACGTTTAAAGGGATACTCCAAAGAAATTAATACTTTTCATCAGCAATGATGCATTAAATGGATCAAAACTGAAAGAGACATATCGTTTAAGATTTCTATTTCAAATAAATGCTGGTCTTTTGAACTTCCTATTCAGCTTTGCATCACAGGAATAAATTACATTTAATACAATAATTAAAATGGAAAACAGTTGTTTTAAATTGTAACGGTTTTTGCACATAAGACTTCTTTCAAAAAAAATATTAATTTTAAATTAATTATTGTTATTATTTATGTATACTTTTTAAAAAATTTAATACAATTTAAGAAGAAAATATTATAATTTTATTTTAACTCACAGATACTGAGCTAAATGACTCCTTTATTGAGCGTAATGAGGTTTTAGTTTTTTTCCTCCACAGTATTGTTCTGTTTGGAGTGAAATATGATGTCTGACACTCACGTCGTTGTCCATGTACTTCAGTAAAGGTGAGTTGCAGACGCGTGACACCCCATCCTCGTCCTGCTCGTCAAACGCCGCCAGTAACGTCTCCATGGAAACGCAGTCCTCGCTCCCGCTGAACCCTGGGAGACTGAACAACACAATATTTCAGACTGATCAGAGCTAATGCAGTTGATCTTAAAGGGATAGTTCACCCAAAAATGAAAATTCTGTCATCATTTACATCATTTAAAGAAGATATTCAGGTCTGGAACGACATGAGGGTGAGTAAATGATGACAGAATTTTCATTTTTGGGTGAACTATCCCTTTAAGGACGATGATGTTACTCGTTCGTACCTGTAACTTTCTCTGACACACTTGTCTGCGGCCACAAAGTCGCCTCTGTGGAGATGAACCAGCACTTGAGCGATGGTTTTCTGCAATATTAAACATCTGTTGAAACTAATGCAATATTATAAAGCAAAATTGTACATTAAAAGTTCATTCCAAAAACTACATGAGGTAAAATCCAGTTGAATATCAGTATTCGCACCTTAAAGCAGGTCGGGTAATTCTCAATTTCCTTGTACATGTTCTTCTCTTTCTGAAGGGACACAGCAGCCTCGTCCAACCTGAGGACAAGAAACACAACAGAAACAACACACACTGTAAGCAAAGAACACGTTTCACTGGTTCATTCATGTACCGTGAACAGCTGGCATTGAACATACAGAATCATGAATGAGATTCATGCTGTGAAGCAGTGTTAGTTTACTATCATTATTATAATACATAGTATTTCGGGTTTTTTTATATATATATTTTACATTTTTTCATTTTAATTTAAGTTAAAGTTTTGGTATTATTTTTTGTGATTTTTACATTTTTATTAAAATTTTGTTTTTATTTTTATTTCATTTTTAGTTTGTCATTTTAGTACTTCAACTTAAAACAAACAAAAAATAGAAATGTGGAAACTAACTGAAATAAAATAAGTAAATAAGAATTAGTTTTTATTTTTATATTTAAATTTTAGTAAAAGTTTTAGTAATGCTGTGTGTTTTTATTCTTTTTTTTTTAATGTCTTTATTTATTTTTTCATTTTTATTTCAATTTTAGTCACTTTAGTACTTTAACTTTTTGCCTTGGCAACTAACTGAAGATAAGTTTAAGGTTTTTATATTTTATTCGATTTCTGTTATATTGATGTTTAAACAGTTTAGGTAACAACACTTTTGAAGGCATCAGAAAAGCTAATGAGGACGATTATCAGTGAATAACGACTATAATTCGGTTCTGTGTCTCAGATAAAGCTATGGCATGACTTCAAATGACTTGTAATATAGTGCTTAATTCATATAGACTATAATTAATTGTACTGTGAAGATTTATATTGTGAAGCAGTGTTATTTTTGTACTCTATTGTAGTATTTATTAATATTTTTATTAATTAGTTTTTATTTTTGTGAAGTCATCAGGAGAGCTAGTGAAGTAATGAAGGTGATTAAATGATATTATATGCAACTATGCAATTTATTGAACACTCAATAAAGGTGTTATTATAAATGACATGGACTATTAATGCTGAAAGGGCACCTATTATGCTTTTTTTAAATTTTACATTTCCTTTAGTGAGTAATACAGCTGTTACAAGCACAAAGTCAAAATCAAAAAGACTTCATCTCTCCAATCTTGCCTGAAATGCCTTATTTGTAATCCTGCCATTATTTCTGTGATTTAGCTATGATTCCATGTTGCACATTTGCATAATGCCCGCCCAAAAAGAACAGTTAAGTGATGTCGAGGAGACGCTGTTTTTTTCACTGTGAGGGAAAAAAAAAAAAACATCATATGG